CATCTCAAGTTTTTAAGTCGATTATTTGTTGAAATAATATTTTAGATCTATTGGTTAGAATAAAATATATTATTAAAACCAATTTCATCTGTTTCTTTTTACTTTTCTACTATGGCTATGAGAAAATTTTTAATTACATACAGTGTTTGTATTCCATGTCTATTTGGTAGCACTGGGCTAGAACTGCCTATATTCCATTCCCAGACTTCTTACTAATTAGATCTCTGACCTTGGTCCAGTCAATTAACCTCAATGAGTCTCAGTTTCTTTATGCAACAAATGAATATAAGAATTTCTGACCTGCCAACCACACAGGGATGTGATATAGCTCAAATAAGATAGTGGATATGAAAGTGCCTGGGGAAAAAAATCTATACAAATGCAAGCTCTTCTGTAATGAGATTTTCTGGCTTGTTTCTAAATCTCCAAGTGTTTTATCTCCTCCCACACTGGCTCCTGGATATGACCCAACTTCCTCCATCTTTCCCAACTTCTGATGCTCATGGTTTGACTTTTGAACTCAATATTGATTCTTCCTTCTAAGTAAATTTCAGAATTGCAGAAGCTGGAGTGTTTGGCAAGACTAGTCCATTGTCAGACTCCTCAAGTTCACCAAAGTTGGTGTGTGATCCACTCTCCCAGCCCACCTTGGGGATCATCTTTCCGATAACAGTGATGCCAAGGAAACTTGATTTAGACAAACTCCTCTTGTCTTATAACTGCACATTGCCGACTGCACTTTTTAGGGGGCTCAAGGCCAGGTACAGTGGCTCTTACCAGTAAGCCCAACACTTTGGAAGGCTGAGACAGGAGGACCGCTTGAGTCCAAGAGTTTGAGACCAGCCTGGACAACACAGGGAGGTCTCATCTCCACAAAAACAAAATTAGCTAAGCATGGTGGCACATGCCTATGGTTCCAGCTACTCAGGAGGCTGAGGTGGGAAAATCACTTGAGCCTAGGAGATCAAGGCTGCAGTGAGCCAGGATTTCACCACTGCACTCCAACCTGGGTGACAAGGCAAGACCCTGCCCCAAAATTTTTAAAAAAAGAGGGCCCTATATGACTTAGGCTGACTGAGAGTTGAAGTTTTCATTGACTTAAAATGTAGATGACATCTGTTACTTTAGTCTGTCTACCACCCATTCACGTGGTGTGTGTGGGGCAGACAGGGTGTGTGTGTGTGTGTGTGTGTGTGTGTGTGTGTGTGTGTGTGCGCGCCTGTCCCAATCTGCTTACCCCATCCCCCGAATACAGAGATGGTTTCAGGTTAGGCAAGAGGCTCAAGCTGACGTACAAGGGGCCAAACTCAGGATTTGTGTACAAACCTTAGAGAAAGAAGTTTCTCTTTCCAGTGAGGCAATTGACTCTTTTTCTGGAACTACTTGAGACACAGAGTGAGAGGGAAGGCAGCTGGCCATAATGAGAAAGCAAAGCTACCAAGGAGCAAGGGGCTGACCAACTGTACCTAAAGCCCACCATACCTAAGCACTTTGCAGTTACAAAAGCCAACAAATCATTTTGTAGAAGAAGCCAGTTTAAGTTAAGATTTAATCACTTAGAAAGAGATACAAAAATAATGCATTTGAAAATTACTTTTATGACTTTCAATTCATCTGGATTAACTGAATATTGTCTAGAGGTGCTGATGAAAATAATTTAAACTAGATTGTGAATTAAATACAAACAAGCTCGTCTAAAGTCTGAGAATGCACAGAGGATCATAGCAAAGACATTTCCTCTGGAAGCATTTTACTGAAACCCTGTTGTTCACTGTCCATGGAAGGAAAGAGATTGCTCAGCAAAACTAATTATTAGACAAATCCCTCCAGTTGGAATGACTCAGAACTGGATTAATGGTCTTTAAATGAATGTGGCTTTCAGGGTTTTATTCTTGCTGCTTGGCAGAAACCTCCTGTGGGAATGCCACCCAGGAAACCTCCACATGTACCCTGAGGTTCTGGTCCTTGCCACCTTCTCAGGCAGATCATGAGGTTGGTGAGTGAGTGACTCTGGGGCAGATGGGGAAAGTGAGGCTCGCTTGTGCCCAGCTGGAATTAAATCATGTGCATTGGAAGGCCAGTTTTGTCCTCTAAACCAGGCATCCTGCCGTGAAGATTAATGAGGTGACAGTTCTCTAGGGCCTGGAGGTAGTTAAGACAAAACAGCCACCCAAACATCTGGGACTATTTTTAGCCTCTTCGGCACTGGGCTTGAAGACACATGCCAACACCGGCTCTGGCGAAGCATGGCCTTGCGGCTGTGTGCTGGTCCCCACTATGTCCCTCTGCCATACAATCATGAAGGTGGAGACTCTGACAAGGTCTCAGGTGATGATTTAGAGTCACCATCTCTCTAAAAGGAGAGGACTTCCAACCTGCCAAGCAACTGTTCATCAAGGATCCAGAGGGCTTTCTGTTTAGATGGACATCAAGGAAAACATGATTAAATGAATTTGTAGGGTTTAAAATTTACTATGCAAAGTGATGGCTGTAGAGAAACATCTGGAAACCAGACAAACTTCGTTTGGCTCATACAAACCTTAAACATGGATTTGTCAGCAACATGTATAAAAGCAGGAACATTTCACATTAAAAAATTCACTTTCCTTGATAAATTGAAACAACTCAGATCTGTTTTTTTCTTTTCCTTCCCAGCCCAGGCTGGAGTGCAGTGATGCAATCTTACACTACAACCTCCACTTCCCAGGTTCAAGCAATTCTTCTGTCTCGGCCTCCCAAGTAGCTTGGATTACAAGCATGTGCCACCACACCTGGCTAATTTTTTGAATTTTTAGTAGACGGGATTTCACCATGTTGACCAGGATAGTCTCGAATTCCTTACCTCAGGTGATCTGCCCACCTTAGCCTCCCAAAGTGCTGGGATTATAGGTGTAAGCCACTGCACCCAGCTAACAATTAAGGTCTTGCATTCAATGTAGCAACAGTCAGCTAGAGACAAGGAGTGGCTTCCCCCTTTAGATAGATGAGGCATGGGTGCTCCAGTTTGCCCCACTCACCACCATTCCCTATTGTAAGTAATTGACCCTGAAGCCAAATGTCAGCTGCCATTTGTCATCTTATACTAGGCCCTCTTCAACCATTTGGGTTTCCTGCCATGCCCTATTAGGTATTAGAGTTTGCAGGTTCTGCAAAATGAACACACATTAATTGCACAATAAATTGTTTAGGCAAAATTCCAACAAGCGATTACAAAGAATATGGCCCTTCTAAGGCTCCTTCAAACATTGGTCCTGTATGACTATATGAACAGAGTCGGAGAATATTAGAACTATTAGAGTCTTCTGTTAGTGCATTGGGGGCAGAGGGGAATGCTTCTCCTTATCCTCAATGTCTGTTTCCATGTGAAGGAAATTCTGCCAGCATCCCACTCCTGGCCCTCCTCCACTCCTTCACCACTCCTTCCATGAGGAGAGAGAGTGACTCAATAACTTCGAGTTTGAAGCTTGGGAGAGGAGCTGGGTATAGGAAGCATATCTCCTTCCTTATTCTTCTTCAGACAGGGGGCAAAGCGCTTGGAGGACGTGCAGAGTGAAAGTTCTATAGATGGTTCATTCCTACTGAACCAGGCATGCCCCAATTGGGCACAGCCAGGAACTGGGTGAGTAACTCTCTTTGATTACAAAGAAGCAGGGTTGTTTCTTAGGTGTTGTAAAGACCACACCAATGACCTGGGTTGATGGCTGTTATCATTTCAAAGGTTTGCTACACTCTTTAAAAATCTCATGGTGGAAACTGTGGACCCTCTACCACCTTCCTCCCCAGGTGCACCTGTCTGCACAACACTCGTGTATACAATGTCAGGGTGTTCACTGACCCTTGAAGCCCATTGATAGGCTCCAGATAGTTTTAACCCCTAATTTGGCCCCATGCCTAAAGAGGAATTGTTTAAAATAACACAAGGCAGAGGCAAGACTGACAAAAGACCAGCAGTCTGACTGGCATCCCCATCACTTTGCATCAGCTGTGTTTATTCATGCAACAAGTCTAAGTGCTTGTGTGCCAGGCAGTGATGAGCCCCACCCTTTGGTCTTAACCAAGGGCTCAAACATCAGACTGCTTATTACACAGATGAATGTCTAATCATACATCATGACGAATGCTGTGAAAGAAAGAGCGCAGCCCTCTTCTTGACAATAAGCCAGGGGGTCTGGCTTATTCGAAGGTGTTAGAGTGAGAAAACATTTCTCAGTGGAAGTGACCTTGAGCCCAGAGCTGATCTCTCAGGGAAAAAATAGGAATTAATTACAAGGAGGAAAGGAACACAAAGAGGCACCCAGACAGGCAGGAGGGAAGGAGAGGAAGCTGGAAAGAGGAGCGTTGTGTATATAGCACAGGTGGCAGTGACAGGTGTGGATTACAGATATCTTAGGTCCCATTCAGCCCTCAGACCTGTAATTTGTAAGGAGGGGGGAGTTCAAACTTTGACAAAGAGTTAAGAAGTTCATAGGCTCAATCCCTTTCCTACTTCTAGGAAAATTTCTCCAAAGGAAAGAAGTTGTCAAAAGCAAGAAATTGAGCCCCACATCCCAAGGTCCACTGCTGCCTCCTCCCCAGTAGAAGTGGAGGCAGACCGGTTGAATTTTGGTCTTTGACCTTCTGAGAGCATAGGATTCACAAAGAGAGAGCATTTCTACTCCCCAAGGGTGTCTACAAGAAAAGAAACTGGCATCTCAATTTCCTAAAGACATGTCTGCTGAAATTACGGATCCCATGGCCACCCACTGGTACCACCTTCTAAGCAGGGAGAAGTGGGACAGTTCTTAGAAAAGACTAACATGGGTAGCCATAAGATAGGGGATGTATTATTTAGACCAGAAATGCCCAAAAGAACTCTTTATGATAACGGAAATGTTTCATATCTGTGCTGTCCAATATGGCAGCCACCAGCCACATATGGTTATTGAGCACATGAAATGCAGCTAGTGCAACTAAGGAATTAAATGTTTAATTACATTTTATTTTAATTAATGAGTTATTTATTGGATGTTCTCACGGCTTTATTAATTCTCTCTTACCGTTGTGGCAGGACCTCATTAGCTGGAGAACTGGAAGGAAGGCCAAGAAGCTGTGGTTTCAGTATGGGTCATTAAAGGGGTACAGAGGATGCCCTGCATCCCTTAGGACTCTTCCCATCCACCATAAGCATAGGCACAATATCTTGCCAGTTTTTGTTCAAGGCATTTAGCTGCTTCATTTCTTCTGAGCCAAAGGTGAAGTCAAACACCTTGATGTTCTGAAGGATTCGAGAAGGAGTGATACTTTTGGGGATGCAGATCACTTTCTGCTGGACCTGCCACCTGAGCAAGATCTGAGCTGCAGATCGGCCATACTTTCCAGCCAACGCCAGGACTACTGGTTCCTCCAGGACAAGTTCATTAGGATCGCGCCATGCATGATCAGAGGAGCCCAAAGGGCTATAAGCAGTTACCTCCAGGCCACATGCTTGGCAGTGGGCAATTGGCTCATTCGAAGCCAAGTATGGGTAACATTCCACCTGCAAGGCAGCTGGACGCATGGAGGCCACACTGAGTATATCATCAATCTGCTGACTGCTGAAGTTGGACAGGCCCAGCACCCGCACCAGCCCCTTAGCTACCAGTGCCTCCAGAGCCTTCCAAGTCTCCTTGTAGTGGGTGGAGTCATAGCGTATAGTCCCATCAGCATTCTTGGGGAAGGGATTGTCTCCCCGCTCGAAGGCATAAGGCCAGTGCATCACGTACAGGTAAAGGTCCAGATGCCCCAGCTGGAGGTCAGCCAGAGTCTTCTGGAGGGCAGGCTCAACATCCTCGGGGTGGTGCTTGGTGTTCCACAGCTTGGATGTCACAAACAGCTCCTCCCAAGGCACTGCCTTGCCTGGTCCCACATCCTCCTTCAGGGCCTCCCCAGTCTCAGGCTCACTGCCATAGAAAGCAGCACAGTCAATGTGGTGGTAGCCTACACTAAGGGCATACTTAACCGCTGCTTTTACCTGACCAGGTTCACTCTTCCAGGTACCCAGACCAATCAGGGACATCTTTTGCCCAGTGTGCAGAACACAGCAAACTGCCATTGACCTTTTGGCATAAGCACAGAGCATGAACAGGATAGTGTGGCCTGGGCTCAGTTCTACAGCCTGCCAGAGAGCCAACGGGCCTCAGCTTAAGTCTGGCAGTGATGAGGCAGCTCCACCTATTTTAATTATTTTTTAAGAGACAGGGGTCTCACTATGTTGCCCAAGTTGGTCTCGAACCGAGTTCAAGTGATCCTCCCCCCTCAGCCTCCTAAGTAGCTGGGACTACAGTTGCAAGCCAGTACTCGATAATTATAATTCTTTTAAATTTAAATAATTACCACCTGTGGCTAGTGGCTACCATATTAGACAGTGCAGCACAGCACTAGACATTTCTGCACGTAGGGGATCACTAGACGACCTACGTCCAAACAGCTTGAGGGTATCAGAGGTGTGTGAATCAGAGTAACTCCATGTTGAACAGAAGCTGGGTAAAATGAGGCTGAAACCTATGGGGCTGCATTCCCAGATGTCTAAGGCATTCTAAGTCACAGGATGAGACAGGGGTCAGCACAAGATACAGGTCATCAAGACCTTGCTGATAAAACAGGATGCAGTAAAGAAGCCTACCAAAACCCACCAAAACCAAGATGGTCACAAGAGTGACCTCTGGTCGTCCCCACTGCTACTCTCCCACCAGCTCAGTGACAGTTTACAAATGCCATGGCAATGTCAGGAAATTATCCTATATGATCTAAAAAGAGGAGGCATGAATAATCCACCCCTTGTTTAGCATAGCATCAAGAAATAATCATAAAAATGGGCAACCAGTAGCTTTTGGGGCTGCTCTGTCTATGGAGTAGCCATTCTTTTATTCCTTTACTTTTCTAATAAACTTGCTTTCACTTTACTGTATGGATTTGCCCTGAATTCCTTCTTGCACGAGATCTTAGACCCCTCTCTTGGGGTCTGGATCAAGACCCCTTTCCTGTAACAAGGGGCTATTGAAGTAGTGAGTCTGAGAAGGCGATGGGGGTACTTCCCACTGCACCCCAGATCTCTACCCACCCAGAGAATAAGAGAAGTATCCCCTATGCCCATGACTGCAAGGGAAAGCCTGAGGGCTAGTGGATGGCAGCAGTCCTCTGTGTCTAGGTGACCACCAGAAAAGGGACCAGAGGGGTGCCATCCCAGGAGTCAATTAGACCAGGCTGCCCCTCAGTGGCAGGGGACGTTATCAGGATGACCCTGCAGACAAGCCAGAGGACTCCATCCTCATCATTCGCAGAGAGATCACTCACAACGGAAGAATCAAACAAGCCACACCAACACCAGGGAGACTTTCTCTGCTTTATGCTCTACAAGCCAAAAGTGAGTAAATCTGCCCGAGTTGTCACTAAAAATGGAAAAGAAGACACTCCACGTACCTCAATTAAACTCAAAGCTGCTTCCTTCATGTTTATACTTCCGTGAGTTTAGATTTTTCAGCCAACCCATCACAACCGTTATTAAGCATGATATATCTGTATAAGTAATTTAATTTATAAGAGGCAGATATGATCAACTCCGTTTTACAGAGGAAGAAACTGAGGCTCAGAAAAGTTGAATGAATCACCCATGATCCCACAGATAAGTGACAAGGCTGGAATGGGAACTCATATCTTTCTCATTCCAAAATTTTCTTGGATACTGCCAGGTCATCTGTTGAACAATAAAATCATCATTTTAAAAAATGCTAAAAAAATACAAGTAAAAATTAGTAAAATCCAAATAAGATCTGTATTAAGTCAACAGTATTGTACCAATGTCAATTTTATACTGTGGTTATGTAAGATGCTGTCACTGGGGGAAGTTGGGGGAGGATACAAGGAACTTCTGTACCACAATTTCTTGTGAGTCTTCAACCATTTTAGAATATCATTTAAAAAAAAAAATCTAGGCCACGTGTGGTGGCTCAAGCCCGTAATTCCAGCACTTTGGGAGGCAGAGGTGGGCAGATCATGTGGTCAAGAGATCGAGACCATGGTGAAACCCCGTCTCTACTAAAAAAATACAAAAATTAGCTGGCGTGGTGGTGCACACCTGTGGTCCCAGCTACTCAGGAGGCTGAGACAGGAGAATTGCTTGAACCTGAGAAGTGGAGGTTGCAGTGAGCTGAGATCGCGCCACTACGCTCCAGCCTGGTGCCTGGCAACAGAACAAGACTCTGTCTCAAAAAAAAAAAAAAAAAAAATCTAATATTGGATTTTTGAAGTTATGCAAATAACATTTATTGCATATTTCTCACATCAAACTACTAGTGTAGATACCAACAAAATCTCACATTTTGATAAGTATTTCAAACTCAAGCTGTCTTTAAATCCTGTTCTTACTGTTTATTTCAGTTTGCTCTTTAAAACATAATGTGTTTTAAAGTTAGGCTTTAATATATACCTTTCAGGATGGGCACAGAGGCTCACGCCTATAATCTCAGCACTTTGGGAGGCTGAGGCGGGTAAATCACTTGAGGTCAGGAGTTCAAGATCAGCCTGGCCGACATGACAAAACCCCATCTCTAACAAACAATATAAAAAGTAGCCGGGCGTAGTGGTATGTGCCTGTAGTCCCTGCTATGTGGGAGGCTGAGGTGGGAGAACTGCTTGAACTTCGGAGATGAAAGTTGCAGTGAGCTGAGATCATATCACTACACTCCAGCCTGGGCAATATGACAGAGTGAGACCCTGTCTCAAAAAAAGAAAAGAAAAGAAAAGAAAAACAATATGTATCTTTCAAACTATACCTAAAAATAAGTATCAACATTCCTCAGATACTGAGGTGTTAGCACAGGTTCTGATTCACAAATATTAAAAATACACTTTTTCTAAATAATGATGCAATGGGCATATAATCTCTCCATTTTGTTCTGAAGAGTCATGAGACTTTATGTGGCTTTGCTGCTGGTAGTTACACAACAAGCTTCATCTCTCTGGATCATCAGCAAAAAATAACCTGCCCCCGCCCCTTATCCCTCACCCCACGCAGTTCTGGACTCTTGGATGCTCCATGATCCACGTCAAACAGGCAGGGGGTCTGCAATGCCAGGATATAACCAGCAGCATCAGCCCAGATGCACAACAACATGCCAAGAATCAACAGAGATCAGGAACATTTTTGATCCCTTGTAGGGAGGGTTGTTTGTAAGTGTTCAGCCCTGGCTTGATGAGTCACTCTTTAGGAAAGAAGAAGCATGACTTTTTTTCTGTTGATTCCAGGAAGATTTCAGGTGGGAGGGAGGGATTTCAAGAAGTCAAAAAAGTCAAAGACAAGGGGAGGAATAAGGCTTGGCCAATCTGTTTAAATGGGATGCTCTTGAGACAAGTGAGAACGTAGGTGCTGAGTGGGAAACAGGAAAGAAAACTGGTTAACAAGAACAGGGATGCTTGGGGCAGGCATCTGGTACTTTTTATCCCTGGCTTAATTCTCTCTCTCTCTCCTCTCTCTCTCGCTCTCTCTCTCTCTCTCTCGCTCTCTCTCTCTCTCCTCTCTCTCTCTCTCTCGCTCTCTCTCTCTCTCCTCTCTCTCTCTCGCTCACACACACACACACACACACAAACAAACAAGATGGCAAGGGAGGTAGGCTGCAAAACGGTATGAGAAATAAGAAGAAGCAAAACATAGCTTAGTTTTTCTCTCCCAACTGCACTCATCCCCAGCCCAGTGAAACAGGGAGATTGAAAGAAGAAAAATCAGAGGAGACAGATGAAAAGACAAGAGGCCAGAGAGATAAGACAATGTCTTCAAGGCAGTGTGATATTGCCTTAAGAGCAGGCAAGTTGATCAATGGAATGGAACGGAGTGTCTTGAAGTACACCCACATACACATGGCCAACTTACATTCGATGACGATATCAAGAAATTCAATGGGGTCTTTTCAACAGATGGTGCTGGAACAACTGGATAGTCACATGGAAAATAAAGAGTTTCCATCCTTACTTTACATCATATGCAAAAATTAATGTGAGATAGATAATAAACCTATCAGAAAAGCTAAAAACTGGAAAGCTTCTAAAAGAAAATAGGAGAATATTGACAACTTTGGGATTGGCAAAGATTTCTTAGGATACAAAAAGCACTAAACATTAAAAAATTCTTAGGCCAGGGGTGGTGGCTCGTGCCAAGTAATTCCAGCACTTGGGGAAGCCTGGGCAGATCATGTGAAGTTAGGAGTTCGAGACCAGCCTAGCCAATTTGGTGAAACTTCGTCTCGACTAAAAATACAAAAGTGAGCCTGGCATGGTGGTGCAAATCTGTAAACCCTCCTACTTGAGGCACAAGAATCACTTACCAGGGAGACAGATGTTGCAGGGGGCTGTGGCTCACACCTATAATCACAGCACTTTGGGAGGCCAAGGTAGGCATATCACTTGAGGCCAGGAGTTTGAAAATAACCTGGCCAACATGGTGAAATCCCACCTCTACTAAATATACAAAAAATTAGCTGGGCATGGTGGCACATGCCTGTAATCCCAGCTACTAGGAAGGCTGAGGCAGTAGAATTGCTTGAACCTGGGAGGTGGAGGTTGCAGTGAGCCCAGTAGCACCACTGCACTCCAGCCTAGGTGACAGAGCAAGACTCCACCTCAAAAAATAAAAATAAAATAAAATAGAAATTTTTTAAAAAGATAACCCAATTTTAAAATAAGCAAGAGATTTGAATAGATGATTTACATAAAATGGAGAGAAATAGCCAATAAGTCCAAAAAAATGTTTGCCACATTTAGTCATTAAAGATGCACAAAGCAAAACACGATGAGATAACATTTCATAACTATAGGGATGAATAAAGTTAGATGCCTGACAATATTAAGTGGTAGCAAGGAGACAGGGTGGGATTTCTCAACCTCAGCACCATTGACCTTTCCAGCTGGATAACCCATTCCTGGGGACTGTGAATGGGGGCTGCCCTGGGCATTGTGAAATGCTCAGCAGCATCCTTGGTCCCTCCCCAGGTGCTAGATGTTAGCAGCACTGTCCCCTCCACTGCAAATTATGGCCAGCAAAACTGTCTTCAGATATTGCCAAATGTCCTCTGGGGACAAAATTCAAAATTGCCCCATATTGAGAACTACTGATGATACAGAGCAACTGATTTGTCACACCTGCTGGTGGGATTGTAAAATATGCAACCACTTTGGAAAACAGTTTGGCAGTTTCTTATGAAGCTACATAAAAACACATACACCAGGACCTAGGGATTCTACTTGTAGCTATTTACTCAAGAGAAATGAGAATATATGTCCACAACAATAACAAAAAGGGTGTACAAGAATGTTCTAAATAGATTTAGATTTACTCTCAATAACCTCAATCTGGAAGCACTCCAGATGTATAATGGGTTGAACTGTACGTCCAAAAAAGGTATATTGAAGTCTTAACCCCCAATAACTGTAAACATGACCTTATTTGGAAGTAGGATTTTTACATAAGTAATCAAGTTAAGGTCATACTTGATTAGGATAAGCTCTAAATCCAATGACTGGTGTCCTTATAAGAAAAGAGGACCTGTGTGCTAGCTCACACCTGTAATCTCAGCACTTTGGGAGACAGGTAGAAGGACTGCTTGAGCCTAGGAGTTTGAGATCAGCCTGGGCAAGGTGGTAATACCTCGTCTCTACAAAAAAAATACAAGGAAAAAAAAGTAGCCACGCATGGTGGTAGGCACCTGTAGTCCTAGATACTGGAGGGTCTGAGGTGGAATGATCACTTGAGCCTGGGAAGTGGAAGCTGCAGTGAGATGTGATTCTACCACTGCACTCCAGCCTGGGAAACAGAGCCAGACCCTGTGAAGAAAAAGAAGGAAAGAGGAGCAGAAAAAGAAGAAGGAGAAGAAAAGGAGCAGAGAAAGAAGAAAGGAAGAGGAGGAGGGAAAGGAGGAGGAAGAAGACAAGGAGAAGGAGGAGGAGAAGGAGAAGGAGGAGGAGGAGGAATACACTGAGGAAAGAAGCCATGTGAAGCAGAGTTTAGAATAATGCAGACTCAAAACAAGAAAGGAACACCAAGTATTGGTGGAAGCCATCAGAAACTGGGAGGGGCAAAGAAGGGCCCTCCCCTAGAGCTTTCAGAGGGAGTGCATCCCTGCCCACACCTTGACCCAGGACTTCTGGTCGGTGGAGCTGTGAGACAATAGAACTCTGTTGTTTTAAGTCACCACGTTTGTGATACTTTGTCACAGCAACCCGAGGAAACAAAATGAGAATGGACCGATAAATGGCGGTATATTCGCACAACAAAATATTGGTAATATGTAGCTATAAAATAATAGGAAAGAATGCACTGATAAAACACATGGGTGTATCTCAAAAACATCACGTTGAGTGAAAGAAACCAGACACAAAAGGATACACACTGTATGAGAGCATTTACATGAAGTTCTGTGAGAGATCTGAGCTATGTGCTAAAAAGCAGAACAAGGGTTGCCTTCAGGATGGGCAAGATGATCAGAGATGGACATGAAAGAACTTTCTGGGGTGGAGGAGAAATACTGTCTTGATTGGTGCAGTAGGCATCTAGGGATATACCTCCATCAAAACTCATTGAACTTACAATCTGTGATTTGTATTGTATATTTGTATATAATTTATACTCAATTTTTTAAATGGTATTTAAATTTTTTAAATGGTAAAGAAGCTAAAGAGAAGAGAAAGGTAAATCAGGAAGCATGTCCTCTTCCATAAAGGTAAGGGGCAGCTAAGGGTCATATGAGCAAAAGCCCAGCGGTGAACACACTGGCAACTTCTGCCATTTTGTTACACCTGTGCTTGCTATGCTTAAGTAAGCTCACAAATTCTTCACTGGAGGCCAAGTTTGCAGAGATGCTCAAAGCAAAGTGGCCCAGGCAGACATCCCAGCTGCTGTCCATTATAACCTGGAATGGAACATTAACTTCTGAGAGGCCCCTCTGGCTCCCAGAGAGCCCCCAGCCACCCCACATTTCAGGAATAATCTTGAAAACCTAAATGGACAACTGAGAAAAACTCAGAACACTGTGTCTGGTAAGCAACCTGTGCGTTCCCCCAGCACTGCAAAACACGCCAGGCGTGGATAATGGCCATGCAGCCCTCACCACTCATCTGCAGTAAGCTCTCATCTCTGGTGATGCAGGGACTTGAGCCGAGCTTCAGACACACAAGGTCTCAGCAGGTAAGAAGTAGCCTTAGACAAACGTCCTCTATGCTGTCCCTACCCAGGGCCAAGCCATGCCAGGGCATCACTGCAAATGCGAGGAAGGGTTGAATATCATGAACTTTGGCATCTGATAGTCCAGAGTTCAAGTGCTGAGACTTGCATCTTCCCTGGGCTCTCGATGCCATCTCTTCATCTGACAAATGGGGGAAATGCAAATTTGTTATAAGAGATACACACATGTAAGGAACTGGTACTCCATAAATGCAAGTTTCCTTTCGCAAAATGCAGTTAGCAGTGCCCACTTCAAAACCCTGCTGGGAGGACAAAATCAGCGCTGTGCATGGAGGTGTTTTTCAAATGCCATGGCTACAGAAAATGAAGTCACCAGCAGGGAACTTTTTTTATCAGTAAGAAATAGAATCAGTGCCCCCTGGGAAGTTTACAACCTAACGTTGAGGGTGATGCTGCTGGTGCTTCTGCCTGGAATTCCCAGCTGACTTAGGGAAGAGCACCCCTCTCATGCATTAACTGCCTCAGCTCTAGGGAAGGGACCTCAGGAATTTATATTCAGGACTCTGCTTGACATGGGGATGACAGATATTAGTTGTGTGTGACAACAATGTATTAGTAATGCTCAGAGTCTGAATTATAGGCAAGGACATCTCTAAAAGATCTGTCAAAAGGAATGATAAAGAAAGCTTCCTCTGGCTTCCAGCGGCCTCCATATTACTCTCCCTGGCAGGATGAGGGCGTGAAACGATGGGGCTGGTATCTTCAGTCAGCACAGTGTCATTCACCTTCGTCCCTACCTAAGGTCCTCATCATGAAATTTATCTTGCATTCACTTCATAATGAGGAGAGCACTGGACGGTGAGTTGGCTTCCAGTGCTGGGAAGGCTATAAAAACCATTCAACCATCCATCCATCCACCCATCCATTCATTCATTTGACAAATATTCATTGAGCCTTTAACAATGTGCCTAGTGCTGTGTTAAACAGAGAAATGAAAGAGATGAATAAGACAGGGTCCTTACTCTCAAAGAACTCATGGTCCAGGATTCAGAAGACAACAGGAACCTAAAACCCACCGTATGAACAAATGGCAAGCACAGAAATGGTAACACAGAGGCAGCATAGCACTGACGATCAGGACTTCAGCCTCTGGGTCCAAGGAACCTACGTTCGTATCACATTTGCCACTTATTGCTTGGATAGTATTCAACCATTTCTGAAAGCACCAAAGAGTAAATTTTGTAGGCTCTGTGGGGCATATGGTGTCTGTTGCAACTACTCCAGTCTGCCACAGTAGCATGAATACAGCCAAAGAAAATATGTAAATGAATAGGTGTGGCTGTGTTCTAATAAAACTTTATTTACAAAAACAGGTGGTGGGCAAGATTTGGACCTCAGGTGGTAGAGTGGTAGCTTGTCAATCCCTATACCCTTGAGTAAGGAGATGTGATCTTGAGCAAGTTATATAATCCTCTATACCTCAGTTTCCTTCACCACAACAGATGATGATAAACCCTACCTTGTGGGATAGTATAAGCTGATACTATATATAAGGTGCTTAGCACAATGCCCATAACATGGTAAGGATGCAATATATTCTGTCTCTATTTCTACTATTATTATTATAAAAGTGAAATCGAAGCTAGTGTCAAGCTCAGATCCCATGAGGTGCTACAGTTCTGTGTCTATCCCCAGATGCATTCCACCCTGAGTTAGTAGGTAAAACCCAGGTCATGAAGTGGTAACCGCTGAAATTGTGCCTAATTCAGCTGACGGACACGGAAAGGCCACCTCTTTAATGTACAAGTGATGATCCCAAAACACGACTCAGATGGAAGGAATGACTTGGTGTCTGCTTCCTGAAGTTTTTTTTTCTTTTGAGCAGCATCTCGCTCTGTCACCCAAGCTGGAGTGCCATAGTGCGATGTCAGCTCACTGCAACCTCTGCCTCCTGGGTTCAAGCATTTCTCCCGCCTCAGCCTCCTGAGTAGCTGGTACTACAGATACCTGATACCTGCTACCACACCTGGCCTATTTTTTGTATTTTTAGGAGAGATGAGGTTTCACCATGTTGGCCAGGCTGGTCTCGAACTCCTGACCTCAAGTGATCTGTCCACCTTGGCCTCCCAAACAGCTGGTATTACAGTTGTGAGCCACCATATCCAGCCCTGAAAATTACTGAGCATCACTCAGCAAATGACCCTCGCCTGCTCTCCTTGTAGCTTCTGGGAGGCTGATCATGCTGGTAGGGGGCCTGATCATGCTGGAAGGGGGCCTAGAGAGTTGTTAATATTTTTCTTCTTCCTCTATTAATTTGAGTTAATAAATGCCTCTAGCCTAAGCGGAACAGGAGGAGGAGGTGAAGGCCTCATTACCAGTGACCAGACAGCCCCTGGCCACATGCGTTTTAAATTACTGAGTCCTAACAGGGTCCATCAGAGGGGATGTAGGCCAGGAGACCATCAGAGGTGATGCATGCAGAGCAGTGTCCAGCCCTTCCAGAGGGTCCAGGGCTCCCTTCTCTGCCATCAGCCACCAGGAGCAGATGGCAGTGCCTCCTACTGACTTGTGCTCAGCTGTGTCATCAGAGCCATGCTCTCCTGCATCCTGGGAAGCACACTGTATACCTGCAAGAATTAATTAATGGAAAATAGAAAGAAAAGGGCTCAGAGCAACTAGCCTGAGGCCTTGAGGCCAGAACACACCGTGGCTTAAATGATGCATGACAGGTTCTGTCCCTTCCTACTGACTATCCTCAGGATAAACTCAGAACTCCAAAACAGCCCCTCCTAATCCTCCTGTCACCTCACACCATAGCCCACACATGCATGCTACAGCCAGCCACACAACCATTCTCAGTTAGAATTTTTCTTCCAAAACAGCTCCAGCTCCTGGGTCATGACACCTGCTGCTCTCCTGCCTGAACATGTCCCACTCTTTACCTGGCCATTCATTTCCCAGTCACTCTTTAGGTCTTATCTTAGACGAGGAGTCAGCACATTTCAGCCCACAGGCCAAATCCAGCCCATGCACTGTTTTTGGAAATAAAGTTTTATTAGAACACAGCCATGCCCATTCATTTGCATACTGTCTATGGCTGCTTTCTGTCATAACAACAGAGTTGAGTGGATACAACAGGGACCATATGGCTGCCAAGAGTCTGCTGTGTTTACTCCCTGGCCCCTCCCAGGAAAAAATTTGCCAGCCCCTGTCACAGATGCTAATTCCACCACGACACTGTTCCTGGCTCACTTTTTACTTTTAGGTGCGCAAGTGTTACTTCCCCTGCCCCAGCCCTTCCCCTTCGGAGTTATGATTGATATTTTCAGTCTGCCTCCTCTATATTCTGAGTTCCTTATCAGGAAGGCTGGTTTCTTGCAACTCTGTGCCCAGACCTCTTACACAGATCCTGAACCCCTCACAGGCACCAAAAACATAAGTTTGCTGAACGGAAGAATGAACAAAAGAATGAGTCTTTGAATGCAGTGCTGGAGAGCCCAATTATGTCACTATACAGTTCAACTAACTCAGGCTATTGAAGAAGGTTAAGAGACTACACAGGTCGGGCCTGGTGGCTCACGCCTATGCCCAGCACTTTGGGAGGCCAAGGAAGGCAGATCACTTGAGGTTAAGGGTTCAAGGACAGCTAGGCCAAGATGGCAAAAGCCCATCTCTACCAAAAGTGCAAAAATTAGCTGGTCATGGTGGCATGTGCCTGTAGTCCCAGATACTCAGGAGGCTGAGGAAGGAAAATCACTTGAACCTGCAAGGTGGAGGCTGCAGTGAGCTGGGATTGCACCACTGCACTCCAGCCTGGGCAGAGTGAGACTCCATCTCAAAAAGAGAGAGAGAGAGAGAGAGAGAGAGAGAGAGAGAGAGAAACTACACAGAGGCATTATTTCTCTGCAATGTACAGAGAGAAAAGGAAACGCTCTAACATTAGCCCATCCAGTGATTAAAGAGGCCCCAAAAATATCTCCTGGGGAAGCTTCTCCTAGACCAAACACAAGGGAGAAGAGAGAAAAAGTCTCACTAACAGTTGGGATTGGGGTCCTTCAAGACTATTCCAAGTTAAAATCCATCCTCCAAATTCTCTGGATGCTTCCAAGTCAGCCCCATACCCCCCTCTTAATCCTGCTCATCATATATTACTATTTCAGTCTGCTGACTTAGCATTCTTTTCTGCTCAACTGCAAACTCCTGGAAGGCAGAATCACTTGCTCGTCAGAGAATCCCTGCTGAGATCTGGCTTCATGTAGGCCCTCCTAAAATGTGTGGGTGGGGGGTAGGGGGATGGGTGGGGGGGTGGGGGGGGTGGATGGATGGATGGATTCTAACCATCAAGTCCTTCCATCTGGCATACAGTAGTACAGAGTCCCAGGTGGGGCCTGATTTCACTCTGGGGTGAACCCAGGATTGGCCCCCGACCCAATAGAGAACATAGAGGAGCTTCATTTAAGGATGGTCTTGACTGTTTAGTGGCTGCTTTGCGTCTAGCATGCCGAAGCCACTCACTTGGAGTTGAATAGCTTTGCCCTCATGGCCTCCAGCTTCTGGGTGTGTTTCTGGGGCCTCAGCTGTCCCCAGACTTGCTTCTGCCTGCCCCAGTGTGACGGCTCCACCCCAGTCTGACCCCCATCATCCTAAATCAAACTGCTGGGCACCTGCCCTCTCTGATTCCCGTTGCCATTCAGGGGCCAAAGCACAGTGGAGAGGTTGACCGTGCAAGGAATTTTTATGTCTCCCCATTTATCACACTAAAGGTTCATTTCAAATTATATTAAACAGGTCAAATATCAAGAGAGAGCATAGCCTTCTCTTTCTCTTTTGCAGAAATGACACCACCCTCTAGAGTGAATAGATCTGGGGCATTTAATTTGGCAACCAAGTACATTCCCCCCCAGAATCCTGGCGCCTGCCAGTGGTCAAGTGGAGAGAGGAGGGAGGAGAAGCAAGAACTCAACACGATGATCACAAAGAAAGATAAAACAAAACCATAAATTCTACAGGATGGATGATGTCCCTCAGGAAACCCTGCATTTTCCTGTACACAAGACTGGCTTTTTTATTCCTAGGCACCTCATCCCTGAGACTAATTCTAACACTCCTTATTTTATCATGTTAATAATAATAACTGTAATTATGCATTCAAGATACCAGCGTCATGCAAAATATATCATTGTGGTGAAGCAGTCCTTGTTTGCAGAAACAAGAGGCCTGTAGGATGACACTTCCGGGTGACTTGGAGAAAGTGCATCTATAAGATAGTCACAGCACCATAAAACCACAGGGTACCCTGTGAGAGTAGTTAAGAAATATGCTTAACAGCTTAGAAATGACACTCTTCCCCAAGCATTTTCTTACCTACCTGTATTTCATCTTCTAAGACACATCCCCTTCAGAGAAAAACTATTTGCTCAAAATGACAGAATTTAGGGCTTTGGGAAGGGATTGAAATAAGATTAATTGAACATGCCCCTTTTGGTTGACTTAGAGTAATTTTCCCAGAGTGTTGTGTTAAGAAGGATTCTGAAGTCACAGCGGGATCTATGAAGAATGTCTGCCTCCAGAAATGGTAGGGGAAATGATCAGCCTTATAATACACACCAGATATGCCAGCTTGACTTTTGGTCATTGGACCATAGCTGAATCAAGTCAAAATAAATAGTGAAATTTTTACCCATTTCTCTAGGCCCAGCCAACTCAAATACATCCCATGGGGCCCTGTTAAAAGGTCCCCCAAGGTCATTTATTCACTTTGGTTTTCCTTGGTACTGTTCCCTTCAGCTATGGGAAAAGAAACACTGCCTTGCCCGTTCAAAAATGTAAAGTGATCAAGTCTGTAAATTCCACATCTCTCTCCCCTTTAGTACTTCGTAAACTGACTGGAGGAATTTGCCTGTCTGTCTGTCTCCTCCTCTGGCAGAAGGCTGCCCCATCCATCTTTAAATTCCCAGTGCTTATCCCAGTGTCTGGCCCATGATAAGGACCCAATAACTACTTGTTGAATTTATGTTTCATCTGAATAAGTCCCATCTCACCCTCATCTCATCCAAAACCTTTTGAAACTAAGACAGAGTAAGAATTAGCTGGGCACAGTGGCTCACACCTGCAATCCCAGCACTTTGGGAGACCAAGGCAGGCAGATGGCTTGAGTCCAGGAGTTGGGGTCCAGACTGGGCATGATGGTGAAACCCCATTCCTACCAAAAAAATTACAAAAATTAGTTGGGTGTGGTGTTGCATGCCTGTAGTTCTAGCTACTCAGGAGGCTGAGGTGGGAGGATTGCTTAAGCCCAGGAGACGGAAGTTGCAGTGAGCCAAGATTGTGCCACTGCACTCCAGCCTATTCAGCAGAGCAAGACCCTGTCTCAAAAAAAAAAAAACAAAAACGAGTAAAGATCAGCTTCCAGAGGAGAAATGGCAAATTGCAATTGCAATGAGCTCATTCTAAAGAACGAGAATTTTTTTCTCCCTGCCAAGAACCTGGCTCCATGGCTCAAAAGGGAGAACAGGAATTAACCCTTGAAGAAGCACAGGGAAAATTGCATGGCTCCCAGCCTGTCAGCCAACGACACTTAAATCTTCTATAATATACGTAACTTCAAGCACAATTTTCTACCTCTGTGACCTCATGAGTATTTCATCTACACTGGAAAATTCATTCCAATTCTTCGGACTGTGGTGAGAATATGACTTCAAACTATTTTGCATTTGCCATGAGAATACTCGTCTCTCATCCTAATATAGCATCATATACATTTCCCTCGCATTAGGATTAGAGACAAGTTCTGTTGAGAAATAACTCCAAGAACAGGTTGTATGTTTTAGTTTCACACTAAAAATCAGTCAGATTTGCCTCAGCCTCAAAGAGTGTGTTTACATAAGATTAAATGAGTGCTGGCAGTGCACTGTATTTTTCTATTTCTAAGCAGGAAATGGGTTAAGGTGGTACCTTCCAAACTTCAGTCTGTCATATCCAAGAATCATCTTATTTACTGACCATTGCTTTAAATTGACTTTTTGATGCCAGGGATGGTGGCTCATACCTGTAAGCCCAGCACTTTGGGAGGCTGAGGCAGCCAGATCACTTAAGGTCAGGAGTTTGAGACCAGCTTGGGCAACATGGTAAAATCCTCTCTCTACTAAAAATACAAAAAATTAACCAGGCATGGTGGTGCATGCTAGTCCCAGCTACTCAGGATGATGAGGCAGGACAATGGCTTGAAGCTGGGAGCAGAAGTTGCAGTGAGCTGAGATCATGCCACTGCACTCCAGCCTGAGAGACAGAGCGACATGCTGTCTCAAAACACAATGAAAAAAAAAAACGCTTTTTGTTAAAACTTCATCTTAAACAACATACACATCTGATGAATACTGAATCCAACATGTCAGCCACACTGTTTTTCTAATAACACTAAAATGTTAACATAATTGTAAATGTTTAAAGTTGGTCGGGGTACCTCTTAAAGTCACCTCGCAGTAGTTTGAGTCCCAAAGTGTGCAAGTCACTGCCCTCAAGAATTGCTCCACAGGCACACCCTGTCCCCTCTATAGGGCCCCAATCACAGCAGTTAAAAACCATGCTGTTACTGGGCAGAAGGCAACACTCTCCCAGAAGGAGGACACAGCAGTTGAGAGTAAGGGATTTGGAGTCAGAGCTGCATTTAAACTCTGGCTCCTACACACTAGCTGCATCCAGAAGCAATGTTTCTACCAACTCTGAGCCTCAGTTTCCTTATCTGTAAAATGGGGACACTAACAGCATCCACTTCATATGGGATAATGTAAGGATCAAATACGAAAATGCATTCTACGTATCATGATGCATCACTTAATGACAGGGATGCATTCCAACAAATGCATCGTTAGTGGATTTCATTGCTGTGCAAAGCATCATAGAGTATACTGACGCAAACCTAAATGATGTAGCCTACTCTACCTCTAGGCTGTGTGGTATAGCCTATTGCTCCTAGGCTACAAAGCTGTTTAGCACGTTACTCTACTGAATACTGTAGGCAATAAAAACACAATGGGAAGTATTAGTGAATTGAAACATATCTGAACATTAAAAAGGTACAGTAAAAAAAAAAATGATATAAAAGATAAAAAATGTGGCTGGGTGCGGTGGCTCACGCCTGTAATCCCAGCACTTTGGGAGGCTGAGGCAGGTAGATTACTTGAGGTCAGGAGTTTGAGACCAGCCTGGCCAACACAGTGAAACCCTGTCTCTACTAAAAATACAAAAATTAGCTGGGCGTGGTGGCGCACACTTGTAGTCCCAGCTACTCAGGAGACCGAGGCAGGAGAATCACTTAAACCCGGGAAGCAGAGTTTGCAGTGAGCCAAGATCACACCACTGCACTCCAGCCTGGGTGACAGAGTGAGATTCTATCACATAAAACGAAAACCAAAAGATAAAAAAGGTTCCACCTGCACAGGGCACTTACCATGACTGGAGCTTGCAGGATGGGCAGCTGCTCTGGTTGAGTGAGTGAGTGAGTGAGTGAGTGAGTGAGTGAGTGAGTGAGTGAGTGAATGAGTGAGTGACTGAATAGTGAATGAATATGAAGGCCCATGCCGTTACCATACGCTACTGTAGACTTTATAAATCCTGTACACTTAGGCTACACTAAATTTATTTCAAAAATAATGTAATTGCACTATGATGTTATGACAGCTACAACATCAGCAGATGATAGGCATTTTCCAGCTCCATTATAATCGTAGAGGCCTCCATTGAGATAAGCAGTTCATCCTTGCCCAAAATGTCATTATGCAGTGCATGACTATAATTAGTGCCTGGTACATCACTGGCACTCAATAATGATGTTATTAACAGCATCATAAATGCATTATCACTAGCAACATCCATTCATTCAACAAACATATATGCAGCATCTGCTATGTTTTCACTGAGAACTCGGCAGTGAGCAAGACAGGCACGGTCTTTGCAGAGCCTGGGTCTGGTGCCAAAGACAGTTTAGGGAAGAAGAGAGACTAGAAACAACTGCACATGTTGCCAGAGACAGGATGAGGTAAGACAAGGGTGCTGGGAGTGGAAACAGACCTCCCAGTCTCAGCCAACGCACAAGTCAGAGAAGAGCAGCAGGAGCCAGCTCAGGCATGTGGTTGGACTGACATATTTTGGGTGCTACTATTTTTTTTTTTTTTCACTCTTAGAAAAACTTTTATTTTTATTTATTTTTTTAACTTTTTATTTCCATAGGCTTTGGGAGAGCAGGTGGTATTTGGTTACATGAGTAAGTTGTTTAGTGG